ATGCAGCTTTGGCTAGCAAGTCCAATATCTGACCAAGGACTTGTCCAGACAGCTACCTGTATGGGAACCTGAGGAAATAGATGTTTTCTGCACCCCTCTCTAAGCTGTATGAGGCAGCTACTCCCTGATTTCTTCCTGATTCCTTCTTTGGGATAGCATCATAAAAACAAACCTGGTTCACTGATACAGTAGCAGTGTCCTTCACACTTCAGTGCAGAGCACGGGGACCCTATCACACCTCAGTTATTCCTAAAACACATCTTCCCCTGAAGATAAAAAGTGCAGAAAATCAAAGTGGTTGAAAGAAAGAAAAAGTGAAAGTGGGGGGGGATCAACCAACACCTATAGACAGTTCTTTATCATCTAAAACCACTCTTTGTCATCTAAAAACACTCCCGAGGGATATGAGAAAGGCAAGGAATGTAGTCAGGACCCTAAATCTTAGGAAAGAAAAATTCCAGCTCTTCAAGAAGTTAGTCAGTAGGACCCCCTGGGAAACGGTGCTCAGGGACAGGGGGGTGGAACAGAGCTGGCAGATCTGTAGGGACAGTTTGCACAGAGCACAGGAGCTCTCAGTCCCCAGGTGAAAGAAGTCAGGCAAGGAAGTGAAGAGACCGGCATGGCTGAGTCAAGACCTGCTGGTCAAACTAAAGGGAAAGGGGTAACTGCACAGACAGTGGAAGCAGGGACAGGTATCTTGGGAAGAGTATGGGGCTGCTGCCCAGTTCTGTAGGGATGAGGTCAGGAGGGCCAAGGTGCAGCTACAGCTGAACTTGGCAAGGGGTGCTAAGGATAACAAGAAGGGCTTCTACAGGTGTATCAGCCAGAAAAGAAAAGTTAAAACTTGCGTACCCCGCTAATGAACAAGAATGGCAACCTTGTATCAACAGATGAGGAGAAGGCTGAGGTACTCAACAACTTTTTTGCCTCAGTCTTCACTGGAAACCTCTCTCCTTGTCCTTCCCCAGCTGATGGACAGAAATACGGGGACCAGAGGGGCAAAGTGCCTCCCACTGTAAGGGAAGACCAGGTTCAGGACTATCTGAGGAACCTGAACGTACATAAGTCTATGGGACCTGACGAGATGCTTCCCAGAGTCCTGAGGGAATTGGCTGATGTCATTGACAAGACACTCTCCATGACATTGAAAAGGTCATGGCAGTTAGGTAAAGTCCCTGGTCACTGGAGGAAGTGAAACATTGTGCCCATGTTTAAAAAGGGTAAAAAAGAGGACCCTGGAAACTACTGAACTGTCAGCCTCACCTCTGTGCCTGGGAAGATCATGGAATGGATCCTCCTAGAAGCTATGCTAAGGCACGTGGAGGACAGGGAGGTGATTTGAGACAGCCAGCATGGCTTCACCAAGGGCAAGTCCTGCCTGATCTACTTAGTGGCTTTCTATGATGGCGTGACTAGATCAGTGGACAAGAGAAGAGCTATGGATGTGATCTATCAGGACTTCTGTACAGCCTTTGACACAGTCCCTCACAATCTCCTTCTCTCTGAATTGGAGAAATAGGGATTTGATGGGTGGACTGTTCAGTGGCTAAGGAATTGGTTGGAACGTCACAGCCAGAGGGTAGTGGTCAACGGCTTGATGTCCAAATGAACGCTGGTGACAAGTGGTGTCCCTCAGGGGTCCATAGCGGGATTGGTGATGTTTAATATCATCTTCACTGACTTAGACTGCAAGATCAAGTGCACCTTCAGCAAGTCTGCAGATGACACCAAGCTGAGTGGTGCAGTGGACACACCAGAAGGATGGGATGCCATCCAGAGGGACCTGGACAAGCTCGAGAATTGGTCCTGTGTGAACCTCATGAGGTTCAACAAGGCCAAATGTAAGGTCCTGCATCTCGGTCAGGGCAGCCACCGCTATCAATACAGGTTAGGGGATGAAAGGATTGAGAGCAGCCCTGCTGAGAAGGAGTTGGTGGTACTGGTGGATGAAAAGCTTGACACGAGCAAACAATGTGTGCTCACAGCCTAGAAGGCCAACCATACCCTGGGCTGCATCAAAAGCAGCGTGGCCAGCAGGTCGAGTGAGGTGATTCTGCCCCTCTACTCTGTTCTGGTGAGACCCCACCTGGAGTCCTGCTTCCAGCTCTCGAGCCCTCAGCACAAGCAGGACATGGACCTGTGGGAGCTGGTCCAGAGAAGGGCCACAAAACTGATCAGAGGGATGGAACACCTCTCCTACGAGGACAGGCTGAGGGAGTAGGAGCTGTTCAGCCTGGAGAAGGCTGCGGAGAGACCTTGTTGTGGCCTTTCAGTACTTAAAGGGGGCCTATAGGAAAGATGGGGACAATCTTTTTAGCAAGGCCTGTTGTGACAGGACAAAGTGAAATGATTTAAAACTTTAAAAGGGCAGATTTAGACGGGACATAAGGAAAAAATTTTTTACCATGAGGGTGGTGAAACACTGGAACCGGTTGCCCAGAGAAGTAGTGGAGGCCCCATCCCTGGAAACATTCAAGGTCAGATTGGATGGGGCTCTGAGCAAGCTGGTCTAGTTGAAGTTGTCCCTTCTCACTGCAGGGAGGCTAGGTTAAATGACCTCTAAAGGTCCCTTCCAACCCAAAGCATTCTATGAATCTAAGATTCTGTGAAACCACCAACTGATATTTCAGCAACATTTCTGTGCCCTCCTACCCGACAAATCCCACGTGTATCCTAGGTGTTTTGCCATGGGAAAGTGTTAATTGCTTGAATTGCTTGCTGTCAAAATTCTGAGTGGTAATGCATTAAGTAATTTCAAAGCCATATAAAAGTCCCTTAAATTTAAGCAGCACATGGAATTAGGAATACACAGAAGCAGTGTTTAAGATTTTCCTAACTGCTTTTGTAGATCTTTTCACTAGGACAGGCATACTCCTATGAAACTATCAGTGAGTACAGAGCAGTGCTAAATACTCATTGTTCCATACTTGAATCACTGGTAATGCTCAACGAAACACCAAAATCTGAAAATCTCTCTTTTAAGAAACATACATCTTCCGCTTGGGAAATGTTTACGTTCTGCGTAATTCAGCATCACTGAATTTTCCTCAGTAACTGAGGGGTACCAGGGCAAGTATCCCTGGGAAGTTTCTAAGTTTTAAGCCTACTTATGTAATCCATATTTTACCTTAAACAACTTCCCTGTGTAGTAGCCAATTTTCCTCTTACATTTTCTATCCACATTGTTTTTACGTTTTCTTGCAGGCAGTCCATGATAAGTATAGTCTTCTGTAGCTACAGGTGTGTTTCACTAAGCAGAACGCTGCAGAAGCAGTCTTAGAGCCACTTGCTGTGGATGACTGTTGACTGAGGAACTTTTGCAAGCAGGTCAATGGTTATCCACTAAACAGGAACACATCCGACTGTGGACCTTAGACACACACACACACAGAGGGAGACAGACACTTGGCACAGCTCAGAGCCACAGAAAGAAACTCTGTATGTTGTTGAGGAAAGTGCTTAAAATAGGTAAGGAGTAGCACGGCTCACTGCCAGCACTTCCACATGCGAGCTTGCTCCATCCCTGGCACTGAAGGACAACCTCAGCCTCTTGCGGGAATGGAGAGAGCAGGTAGACCTGTTGGCTGTTGAGAAGGACTGCCCCACTTGCAAGCAGCAGCCACTGCCCTGGCTGCTTCTTTCAAACCACCAGACTGTCAATAGTTGTAAAAAGTGCTTTTTCCTTCTAAGCCAGAAAGGCAATATTATAGTGAAATAGATTAATATGATCATGCCATTACTAGGTATTGTTAAAGCACTCTCAACAAAATTGAATCTCATTAGCAGCTACATAATATTTTAAGGCTAAAATATTTCAAGGAGGCATATGGATTTCCCTGGAAGGTTTTGGGGCAAACTCTCTTGTCATTTCAAGGAAGAGAATTGAAAGTAGTACTCTACAGATATTTTGGCACATTTTGCAAAGATGTTTCAATGGTTTTGTTCTCTCCTCAAAGTAAGAAAGCAACCAGCTTTGAAACCTCCAGAGTTGCCAGAAAGTGAACCATCACCTTCCTGAGAGCTCTCAGTATACACTGTATTTGTTTAACCACCCTTCTATCCTCTTGGTCCTGCTAACACACTTTGGATTACAAGCATTATAAAGTACACAAACACAAATAGTTGGAAAAGATATTTAAAATCTAAAATGAAGCAAATACAATATTAGTGAGATTTGAAAGTGTGAGGAACCTCAAAACACTTTCATCTTCAAGAACTTCAAGATTCCTTTGAAGTATGAATGGAAGCCTGGTTTCACTTGAAGAGTAAGGTTTGTAGAGTGCAAGTGTCCCTCAGAATGGAAAAGAACAATGACGAGCGTATGAGAGAACAAAAAGAAAGGATAAAATAAGAATCATAACACATTTCTTCCTGTAAAGTCAGAGTTCTTTGTTTCCATATTGAATTGTTTGAGTAGACTAAATCACACTATTATGTTTTATCCATTTAGTTGCCAATGCAAAGAGGCTTTTGAGAAGAAAATGGAGAATTGGGATTGTAATAACGACTAATGATGAGATGCAGAGCTGACAGAAATCACTCGAAATTAATGCGTTAAGTCTTTAAGCTGAAGAATGATACATCAATACCTAATACCACCTGTAAAGTGTTTTTTCTAACCTCCTCTGCAAAACACAACTAAAAGCAAGCTCTCAACTGAATAACAGATGCCGCACACTGAGGAAGATTTCTCATATTCCGTGACAACTTCACATTTACTTTACAGATGCAAGTTCTGGAAAGTCCTATGATATCACACAGCGATGTAGTCAAAAAAGGTTCTCAATATATAGATTACCTCGGGATCAACAAAGTTTGGCAGTGAACAGTATTCTTTTTTACAGCATGTTAATCACCCTATATAATTTGGAAGAAGACAATAATTGTCAGTAATTATTTTCAGTAAGCTTTTGACTTGCCTCATAGAATTGTGTAACCTACTTTATAGCATTATGTAAAATGTTTATTAAACTTGTATGATTTATTTCCCAGTCCCACCCCACCCTTGCCATAGCAAATGTTTGCCACATTAGCTTTATGTACTGTGGTCATTTATAAGAGAAACACTGAAGAGATGCCTTTTGGTTTTTTTTCCTCCTTATTTAAATAACTTAGTTGTATAGAGCTTAACTTCAAAGGAAACCACATACTTGCTGGTAGATAATGCTTTGGACAGCATAAAAACAAATGTGCAAAACCAAATCCTTTATGCTTATGCAGGGTCCTAAAAACCTATGTAGCAAATCAATACAGTCCTAAAGATGTCTCCCGGTGGATCACTTCAGGTACCGCAGCCACACATGGTGTCATATTGGTTCAACAAATTTCATGAACAATTGTTGTTTCAGGTTTGCTTGCAGTATTGGGGTTCTTTTTATATTTTTTCCACAGGTTATATAAGATGAATAATTCTAAACTTGCAAAACAAACCCAGAACTGCTGATGCAGTTTCAAATATCTGACACCATTAATTCCCATATGTATAACTCTCACAGCAAAAATACAATGCATAAGTGATGTCTGACAGGCCTGAAAGGGTTTCTTCTTCATAAAATCAGGAAAGATGAGTATCTTCCCTGGGGGATCTTGTGTTCCAGTTGACCACATCACTACATCATACCATCTTTTAGATTTCCAGGGAACAGAGAGAGAAGGGATATAACCTTTTACTAAGTATTTATTGCTACATACAGAAAAACCATCACTCTACAGGAATCTGCATTTCTTTTCTTTTTTTGGGGGGAGGGGAGTGGGGTGGGGTGTTCTAGCATAGATTAAATTTTCTGTTGGAAAACTGTCCAAGCTTGTCAATCTTTACACTATAGATGATCACTGGAGAAATCAGTTTCACAAAGTGATACTGAATGAATTGTGCCATCATATAAAAATTGTTCTGTGCATCAAAAGAATACCAACATTAGTCTCCTATCAAAACTTGAAGTGGAAAAAATTATATTTTCCAAAGGATCTATAATACAGAACTTGAACAGTGAGGGTTTAGGGAATCTTGATATTTAGAAGTTCCAGTTGGGATGAAAACAATCCAAGAAAAATATCTTTATGGCTATTTATACAGAGCTAAATTCAGAAGTGATGAAGAAGTATAACAGAATGTCTTTCTCTGGTCTGTTCGAGGTATATGTATACATACACACACATATATGCATATATATATTAGTGTGTATATATGTTCACTTATACATATATGTAAGTTTCTCTCAGTGTACACACAAAATACTCTTTAGAGATTTCACCACACAGTTCTGCTAAGTCCTAAGCTTTAGAACTTTGTAAGTCAGAGTAATCTCAGTAATTTTTTTCCACCCCAAGAGCTACCTGAAACAAGACTCCAGCCTTGCAAGTTCAAAGATTATTGCAATGCTAGAGATTCAGGATAACAACAGTGGTTCTCATTAAAGTAATGACTCATTAAATTTTCCTTCAGTAAAGGCAGAAGCATACATTTAAGAGTTCGTCAGTCTTCACACTGGATTCTTGAAATAAGAAATAAGTCATAGGAGAGTGGGTGATTAAATTAATAGTATAGCAAAACTATAAAGCATACATTTTGCTTGAGATTTTAAAAATGTTTTTTTAAAAAACATTCTTCTCACAAGAAACTGTTGTGCAGTATGAGAGGTACAATCAAGAGTAGCTGGAAGCTAATACAGGATTCTCTAACCAAGAAAATGCCATTATACAGAAAAACTAAAAGTACCTCTTCCAAGGTGGTGTCAGAAATGCCATAGCCAGTCAGATGGAGGTGATGAAGGCTTTGATCTAAAGCCTGAAAAAGATCTTTAAAAGAGGTCTTTTTTGCCCTTTCTGGAATCACATAGGTCAGCTCAGTCCCACTGTTCTCTTTCAAGAAGGCTTCTGGGATGTGGGTCTGTACCAAAGATGTGACCCGGACAATATGCTTAGGATCCTGGATTTCAAACACAAAGGGCTAGGAGGAAAGAAAAATAACCATACACAAAAAAGTAAATGTTAGCTGAAGTATGGGACTTGACAGTAGAATTCATACAGGAAAATTTCCACTGATGAAACTGTATCAAACCTGGGATGTAGAGGCTACTTCCCAGCAATAAAGAACGGTGAGACAATGCCCTTTTCAGCTAAATATTGAAATACAAAATTTTCAAAGATGCCATTGTGTTCTTCTAAACAATAATAATAATAATAGTAGTAATAATAACAATAACAATACCACCCCCACAAAACAAACAAGAAAGCTGATATAAACATGTTTTGCTGGCTCTCTACTAATCTATATCAGATATTACTTCCTGGCAGGGACATACAGCTCCCTTAGAATATACACAGCTATTACTTGCCAGGCACTATTGAGTTCTGTACTGTACATTTTTAGTATACCTTTTTTATGAGCGTTAGACTGTGTCCCTGGTCATATGTTTCTCTCAGATAAGAGGGAGAGCCACAGCACCTCAGCTGGCCATGCTGCAGAATGGCAATGCGATCACTGAGCACCTCTGCCTCATCAAGATGATGAGTGGTAAAGATCAGTGTGCAACCTGCATCAGAAAGATTGGTACATGTCTACAAGACCTGGTTTCTAAAGAGACATCTTGCTTTCATGAGGGTCCTTTCACCTTAAAGGAACACGTTTCAGGTCCCTTCAAAACATAACTGCAAGATACAAACGAAACCTGCATTCAGATTTATGGTCTGAGTTAGATTAAGGTCTAAACTTGCTTTGGCTTATAGTATACATTGTAATCAGTATTAAGCCATTACAACTTCAAGCTGTTTCAGGAGCTTAAAAGAGTCCTTAGAACCACATAAACGCAGTGTCTGTTTCAATGGATCATTCACCGTGATTTATTACAACTAATTGAGTGCTCACTGTCTGAAGAGTTTGCTTCCCATAATCCGTTTTTAACATTATGGCACTTGAAAAATTAATGTAGCAGACAGACTGACAAGTCTATTTTCATTAGAATTATATATGCATCTATCTACAAATATGTGAAGAATGGGAAATGAAAATCAGCAAATAATCTTGAGAAGCAAACAAAAAAGGAAAAGGTACGAGAAAAAAACTTCAGAATAGATTCAGAACTAAGCTCGGCTGTGAGACTGGGCATCTGTCTGTAGAACAACAGATTATTCTTGTAATCTCACTTGGCTTCTTCAAAGTTTCCCAAGCTCAATTAAATGCTACTTCTGAAATTAATATTTTTAGTTACTGAATAGCAATACTAATAGTCTGACTATCCTGTTTAAATTTACTGAAACAGAATTCCAGAAAGGAAAATAGGCACAAAATTATGTGTAAAAGCTTTGTACCAGCTTTGTACTTCAGAAGAACATCCCAGATATTACGGCGAGAACATGGATCTACTCCACTAGTGGGCTCATCCAGAACAACTGTCTTTGAATTTCCAATAAAGGAGATGGCGATTGACAGCCTCCTTGTCATTCCCCCAGAAAGGGCTCCAACAGGTTTGTACTGATGTTGAGATAAATCCACATCTTCCAGAGCTCTGAAGTAGGAGTACAGAAATGGGACGCGTTTTGAAAAAGTTTTTCCAGCCACGTCATGTCCACCCAGATCAGAACTACTGAAAAGTCAGTGTAAACAGCAAGTGAAAAAACCCACAACCTCTGACTGATTGTATAATCTGGTGACAAAAATGAACAGAAAATAAATGATCTCTTTACCTACAAAGTATAAACACTCATTACCACCTGAAATACAAATTCTGGATAAGTATTGTGCAGGATAGGAACAGATCATTTTGAAATGAAGTCCAATGACATGAATACAAGTTTATCCAAAGATCTCCGCAAACTCTAGATCCTAGCCTCTTAAAGCATGATAAACAGGGTTAGTTTCGTAACTGAAACGCTTCTTTTTTTTGCAGCTACATAAAGAACCTTAAAAAATGCCTGACTTCTTAAGAAATGTGTACTCATTTGAAGTAAATAAGGCAAAGTTGCTGATTTTATTTTGCCTTTTTATTTTTAAATCGTGTTTCTGTGAAGTAAATAGATTATCAGTCTCTAGGTAGAATAATAACATCTAATCCAATTCAATCTAACTCCTGTGTTAAGCACTGGGGGATACCTTACAGACATTGCATATTCAGCCCTTGCCCTCTAAGGATCATGCATCTGAGCTGCCTGTGGAAACACACTCAATAAAGACAGCACTGAAAGACCATATATTTATTTTTCATCACATTGAACATCCAGTCATTGACCTAAAAGCTTTCAGTTGCTATCAGCCTGGCAAGCAAGACATAAAAGACTAAGCTAATCTCCTAGGATTATTTGAGTGAATATCCAGTCTCTAAACCATGTCATTTACCCTGAAAGAATTTTTGATTATTAGGAAAACCGTTTTCTATAATTGTTACAAAGCTATATACCCAGGAAAATTATTCTTAATCTCTTTAAAAGCCATTTTTTTTGCCTAATAAAAACCAAACTTTGTTTCATTGTTTTGCTGCTTTTCTAATTTCTCTGAAGTATTTTAAAGCATTCATTGCCTTTAAAAAAATAAATTTTTCTTAGTAGCAAGGCATGCAGAGTCCTGAGCATTCTTATGTGCCATTAGTATGACAGACTGCTGCTGAAATTACAATTCAGCAGTCTAAATACAATAAAATACAGGATATTATTTTGCATAAATTTTAACAAAACACTAGGTTTGGTTTTTTTGTGTTGTTCTAGAGAGTTGTTTCTGTTGTTTCTGGAGAGAATGCAGTGTCCCACAGCAGAGATTTTCCAGATCAAAATTTTAAAGTAACAGGCTTTTATGATAGCTGCTAAAGGGGAAAGCCACTTTGCCATGAATGTGTCTGCATATTTCTAAGAAGTCCCTAACACTCTTAAGAAGTCCCATCAAGCTGTCATTTACTTCCATTGAAGCATGGAAGTCCCCAGCCCTCCACACAGTCTAGCATGAAGGTAAAAACTATTTATGCTGTCCCACTATTAGAAAAGCATACATTTATTCCTAAAATTCAGAAAGTGCACCATGCTATTAGTGAACATGGTTTCCTAGTAGTTTAATACACATGATGCAAAAACGAAGATCTAGTCCTGTATCAAAGAAGTAGCAGCCTGAAAACACTGGCAAACATTCTCAACCTGACAAGTGACAAATCCTCTGTGGTCGTCTCAGCTCTGGCATGTTTTGCCTATTGGACTATTTGTTTTTAAACCCTTCACTTATTAAACACATTTAGAGTCTGAATCTGACAAAGGAAAATGGTGATGGCCTGTTTTAAAGGATTGTAACAAGCATTGCCTTTACTGATTTTCCAATCTTTCCTCTACTGCAGGTGAGGGAAATACAGGATAATAAATACATAAAGTCAGTATTGACTTATCTGAAAACTCAGGGCGAACACAGCAGTTTACTTTATCTGCCTTTCCAGCAAGGAGTGAGGTAGGGCAGACAGCATGAGGCAGGAACCACTACAGGTGCTATCAGGCTAACCATCGCCTCTTCAGTCAAAACATGATTCTTTGATGGTTCTCTATACAGCTTCTCAAACATGGACAGTTCCACTACAAATACATTCAAGTACTGCTTAGAAACTAGGAAATCTATTTTCAAGGCATTATTTCAGAACATGAAGTGTGATAAAGACTCACGGAAAACCTGAAGTTTCTATTCGCTTCTAGTTGAGATTTTACTTTAGCACTTTCCTGTTTGAGTGTGTTTTGGTGTGGCCTGGATAAATGCCAGGTGCCCACCAAAACCGCTCTATCACTCCCCCTCCTCAACTGGACAGAGGAGAGGAAATATGATGAAAGGCTCATGGATTGAGATAAGGACAGGGAGAGATCACTCAACAATGGCCATCACTAACAAAACAGACTGAATTTGGGGAGAAAAGGAAGTTTAATTCATCACCAATCAAATCAGACTAGGATAGTGAGGAATAAAACTAAATCTTAAAGCACCTTACCCCCACCTCTCCCTTCTTCCTGGGCTCAGCTTCACTCCCGTTTCTCTCCCTCCTCCCCGAAAGCGGCGCAGGGGGACAGGGAATGGGGGTTGCGGTCAGTTCATCACATGTTGTCTCTGCGGCTCCTTCCTCCTCAGGGGGAGGGCTCCTCACCCTCTGCCCCTGCTCCAGCGTGAGGTCCCTCTCATGGAGACAGTTCTCCACAAACTGCTCCAATGTGAGTCCTTCCCATGGGCTGCAGCTCTTCACAAACTGCCCCAGCGTGGGTCCTTCCACGGGCTGCAGTTCTTCAGGAACAGGTTGCTCCAGCATGGGTCCCCCACGGTGTCACAAGCCCTGCCAGCAAACCTGCTCCGACGTGGGCTCCTCTTTCCATGGGTCCACAGGTCCAGCCTACTGCAGCGCGAGGTCCCCACGGGGTCACACCTTCCTTCAGGCACCCACCTGCTCCGGCATGGGGTCCCTTCCACAGGCTACAGGTGGGTATATGCTCCACTGTGGACCTCCATGGACAGCAGGGGTACAGCCTGCCTCACCATGTCTTCATCACGAGTAGAAAGGGAAGACTCTCTGCTCCAGCATCTCAAGCACCTCCTCCCCCTCCTTCTTCACTGACCTTGGTATCTGCAGATTCGTTTCTCTCACATCGTCTCACTCCTCTCTCTCGACTGCCATTTCACCACAGTTTATTTTTCTTCCCCTTCTTAAATATGTTATCCCAGAGGTGCTACCACCGTCTCTGATTGGCTTGGCCTTGGCTAGCAGCCGGTCCATCTTAGAGCTGGCTGGCACTGGCTTTATCAGACATGGGGGAAGCTTCTCGCAGCTTCTCACAGAAGCCACACCTATAGTCCCCCACTACCAAAACCTTGCCATGCAAACCCATAACAGAGTGGCTTTCAACAGATACTACTGATTTAGTTGACAGATTTCAAGAAATGAAATGAAAACTTACCCACTGACTTGCTGATTCAACTGCTCCTTTGTCCAGCCAGGTGCCTTCACTGATCCATAAAGCAGCAGATGTTCTCGCACAGTTAGTGTGTTGAACAGGACATCATACTGTGGGCAAACACCGAGCTCTGTCCTGATGGCAGCCAGATCAGTACGTATGTCCTTTCCATTAATAATAATGGTACCAGAGCTTGGTGGATACAGACCAGTCAACAATGATCTGATACAAGAAAAGAAAAAAAATATTTAGCAAGATCATGTGTAATGACTGTATAACACAGCTCACACTTGGATTATCCGAGACAAGTCCTAACATCCTTAGAGCACACCAATTCAGCAAAGCACAGTTACAGAAACACCATTAATGTTTTGAGTTTTGTTTTTTTGGTTTTTTTTTAAAAGAAAAAAACCTAAGATCTCAACAGTCCTTCATTTCCTTACTTCCAGAACAAAGTCCATTTTCCCCCAAACATAACAGATCTTTGTTTCCTTTTTCATGTGTATTCTATCTGAGGAATAATTCCTAATTGGGTCCCATTCTGCATCACTAGTTTTATTAAAGCTGATCATAGTTAACATAAAGATTGAAATACATTAATTGAGACATTTTTAACTGTCATTTTCAATTTGTTAATTTTGCAGTCCCTTGCAACCTCTAGGAACAAAGCACAAAACCCCACAAAGCTGCATGCTCTGTACGTGATAGCAGTACACGTGGGATGTCAGAAAAGCACACTTTCCTAAGATGCGTTCAATTCCACAATTAGGCATGCCGAGCTCCTACTTAAGCTGCTCCTGAGCTATTACACCATGGTTTCAGCGTCATGGAGGGCCCATTTCTCTATTCATGACATTGCTTTTGCTGTAGATATAGCCTTCACTTTCCATGTGCTTTAGGGAGTTTATTAAATATTTATTTAGAAAAAAAAATGCATAGGAAAGGGTTCATGAACATTTTGAAGTGAGAAAGCATAGCAGAGATCAGAGCAGAGTGTAATAGCATTAAATGGCAGACTTACATAACGGTTGTCTTGCCAGCCCCATTAGGTCCCAAGAGTGCCGTTATCTGACCTCTACGGAACGTGATGCTGAGATCTTTAACAGCAGCCTTCTGGCCATCCACATGCTCTTTGGTGAGGGACAGCAGCACAACACCAATGGTGGCTTCTTCGTCACAAGGGCCTTTCCAGCTTGGAGGTTCTGGGTCTGTATGGTGAAGAGCAGCAGATCAAGAGGTTTGCTGATTCTAACCATATACTTGTGTGTGTGTGTATAGGGAATAACAAATTGACTTAATCCTTTTTGCCATTTACCAAAGCCTGCAACAGATGTTCAGATGTTCCAAACTGATATAAGCTCCACTGAAATCAAAGATACTATGCCAGTTAATATTTGCTCAGAATTTGGCCTGTTCACAGTCATCAAAAAGCAACCTAAAACAGTTGTGCCAAGTTGTGTGCATGTCCACATATGCCTCCATACTGTATAAAATACCTGCTATATTTTAGTTCTAGTAGAAAAAAATACTCATAATGATGTTGCTTGAATCACTGTTTTTTAAGCCTGTAAGTATGAGAAAAGTCTCACTGTGTGAATTACTCCATATATGCCATCCAGTTTCAGGCACATAACATTAACACAGAATTAACAGGCACAGCCAGATAATACTCTTAATTCCCTCAGTCAATAAAGTGAAGCGGATCTCTTTGTAATACGATTCAGAGCAGCAGCCTAGTCTAAACATAATTCAAGGTCCTCTATGTAAGCAGACACCCAGCATTTTCTAACTGTGATGTAACGACCCCAGCAAACTGAGATGATCATATGACACAAATAAAGTTGACTTCGTTTCTATGTCAGGAGGAAAGGTTGGCACTACTTACCAAAAATGAGCACAGTCAATCACCAGCCCCATAAATATTTTATTAACGTGTAATATTTTATTGACTCACTACAACTGAGAAATCTGGCAGTGGGATACTTTTTTCTTTTTAAAAAAAGGTGACCCAAATTGGAATGTTAGTCCAAATAAACAGAAACTGGTATGGATGAGAATTATGAGAAGAAAGAATTATTTTTTTAATAGTTATTTTATATATCAAAAAATGTAAATTATACATATAATAGATACAAGTTACATTTATATTTATGTAATTGTTTTATATATAATGAACTAAAATATTGAAATATTACAAGAAGAAAGAATTAAGCTTTATATAGAATACATAAAATTATATTAATAAAATTATAAATAATTATATAATTATTTCAAGGATTGGTTTGTTCAAGCTGTGAATGATTTCACAATCAATTTTAAGTTTAGAAAGTACTGGTTTCTTTGTAAACTTAAAACTCTGTTTAAAACTCTTAAAACTCTTTCTTAAAACTCTTTCTAAACTTTGGTTTCTTTCTCTTGCTGGGCCCTGCACTTCAGTCACAACAATCCCATGCAACGCTACAGTTTGGGGATGAGTGGCTGGAAAGCTTCCCGGTGGAAAAAGAACTTGGGGTGTTGGTCGACAGTCGGCTGAACATGAGCCAGCAGTGTCCCCAGGTGGCCAAGAAGGCCAAAGGCATCCTGGCTTGTATCAGGAATAGTGTGGCCAGCAGGAGCAGGGAGATGATCGTGCCCTTGTACTCGGCACTTGGTGAAGCCACACCTCAAATACTGTGTTCAGTTTTAGTCCCCTCACTTCAGGCAAGACATTGAGTTGCTGGAGCATGTCTAGAGAAGGGCAATAAGGTTGGTTAGGGGTCTGGAGAACAAGTCTTATGAGGAGCGGCGGAAGGAACTGGGGCTGTTTAGTCTGGAGAAAAGGAGGCTGAGGGGGGACCTAATTGCTGTCTAGAACTACCTGAAAGGAAGCTGTAGTGAGGTGGGAGTTGGTCTCTTCTCCCAACTAACCAGCGAGAGGACGAGAGGCAATGGCCTCAAGCTGCATCAGGGGAGGTTCAGATTAGATACTAGGAAAAAATTATTTACTGAAAGAGTGGTCAGGCATTGGACCAGGCTGCCAAGGGAGGTGGCTGAGTCCCCATCCCTGGAGGTGTTTAAAAAACGAGTAGATGTGGCACTTCAGGATATGGTTTAGTAGGAATGGTGGTGTTGGGTGGATGGTTGGACTCGATGATCTTAGAGGTCTTTTCCAACCTATGATTCTGTGATTCTATTCTATGATTCTATGAACTTTTGTCAGAACCTTGAGGTTACCTTCCAGCAAGACACTACCAGCAGCTATGACATTTCTGAGGTCTTTCTACCCAAGAACCTCTATTCCAGTTAGTTTCTCTGTCTTTTGGTCTGGAGACTAAAACCACGAAACACAATTCATGTCCTTTCCACTGCTTCCTAAATTTGCAAGTACATCCTGGAACTGAACAAAAACCTTATAGTACAGAGTGAGCTTCACACAACGTATCTCAGGTAAAATTAAGGGGAAGAGGTCCAAATTTCTCGCAAGCAGTAAACTGATCACCCTAGGACTTCTCCTAAAAGAAGTTCCAAGTAGGTATTCAGCACCCAGGTCTCTGCCAGCCCTACTCCAGTTGTAGTTCCAGCTTGTAGGACCTACACACCAGCCCTTCACTGACACACCTCTGATTTTGTGGCCAGCAGGTCGAGGGATGTGATTTTGCCCCTCTGCTCTGCTCAGACCTCATCTGGACTGCTGCGGCCAGCTCTGGAGCCCTCAGCACAAGAAAGACATGGAGCTGTTGGAGCAGGTCCAGAGGAGGGCCACAAAAATGATTGGAGGGATGGAACACCTCTCCTGTGAAAACAGGCTGAGAGAGCTGGGGTTGTTCAGCCTGGAGAAGAGAAGACTCCAGCGAAACCTTATTGCAGCCTTTCAGTGGTTAAAGTGGGCTTTTAAGAAAGATGGGGACAGATTTTTCAGCAAGGCCTGTTGTGACAGGAAAAGGGAAAATGGTTTCAAACTAAGGGAGGGTAGATTTAGACTAGAAACAGGGAAACTGGAACGGGTTGCCCAGAGAAGTAATGGAGGCCCCATTCCTGGAAACACTCAAGGTCAGGTTGGACGGGGCTCTGACAAGCCTGTTCTAGTTAAAGACATCCCTGCTCACTACAGAGGGATTGGACTAGATGACCTCTAAAGGTCCCTTCCAATCCAAACTATTCTGCAATTCTATGATTTCCAAAGTGATTTCCACCCCCACCACACCAACCCTTATTTGGCCTATACGGAACAAACGCAGAAATCACCCAGGAGCAAGTCACTTTGCAGTTCCAAGCAAATTACCCATGAATGCATTTATCCCATTATCAGTACAATGACACCCAGCTCTTATGAAAGACAGCAAGTTCCTTTGCATGCATGGCAGTGTTAGAGTTCACACACAGGCAATTTGCTGCTAAGCACGTGACATGCATCAGTTTCAGCAGAGGAGAAGCGGGATGAACAGATCCACAGCTGTAGGCAATCGCTTGGATGGCTTGAGCCAGAGACCATGCTAGTAATTTTTCAGGCAGAGGAGAGATTTTTTGTTCGCCTTCCACAGAGGATGTGAAGAACTCAAGTGGAAACACTGAAGAAATTAATTTTAAGGACCAAAGACAATCATTTCAATAAAATGGAATTGTTCGAAATGCAGAAAACCAGACAAAATTCATACTGATAGTTCTCCCACAAATGTTTAAATGAACTTCAAGATATTTTGAAGCTTGCCCTGCTCTAGGAAACACCAATACATAGAACTGCTGAGTTGTTCAGCTTCTTCACCTATGCTACAGATGACTGGATCATTTCCAAGCTACTGTAACTTCCAAAAAACCACAACAACCCATCATGTTGTTCTAAGGCCCAGGAGGGAATGCAGGTGAGGATGACTTGCTCATTTCATTCACAAACATAAATGAAATGTGAGAAAGTCCTTAAAGAGATTAAGCAAGTGAACAAAGAAATAGAAGAACAGTAAAAGTATCTGGAGGCAGAGTAAGAATTAGTTACAATAACAGTATCTTTTTAAACAAAAGGCTAAGAAGCAGAGACAGAAAGAACAACGATTACAGAAGAGGAAAGTAAGAAATAGAAGGGAAAGAAATGAACAAACTTAATTCTTCCACTAAAACAAGAAGTAAATAAAAACAGCAGAGGAGGAGGAGAAAGAAAATCAAACCACAGGGGAAAAAAAAACAAACAAGGTTAATAAAGCATAATACTTTCCACATTCAGTAAGAGTTTGAAAGGGCTCAAGCAGCTTTAGAAGATGTTAACAAAGCACAAAAGATATACACAGGGACAGGATGAACCCAAGCGATACTTCTTTTACATTTTTTAAAGTTTGTTTTAAATATTTGTGTTTAATACTTTTACTTGAACAATTCAAGCATTACAGGTGACAGCACAATTAACGATTAGTATGTAATGTTCATAGTATGCACTATAAAATGGGGGAGAGAAAGGGACAAGATCTAAACATATAATATAGGAACAAGCAATGATAAAAGCTGATTGATCAAAATTAGCACATCATTCAGAAAAGCATTGTTATTAAAATTCTATTATGACTACAAACCTTTTTCTTGGAAATTTTCATTGAAGTAAAACATATTAGAATTCAGACAATCTCTCTTCCTCCTCTCTGTACCATACAGGTTCTTCCAGTAGGAAACAGTAAAGGGAAAGTACCATCCATTCTTTAATCCATATTTTCCTAGATGATAATTAAGAAAGAAACTGTTGCATAATTTATAGTCATTTCATATTTGTTAGTAGACTACTAACATCCTATAATTTCTTATGAAGAGCTGTTTAGACCAGTTAATTAGCTCAAACTCTTAGCTGTACTTAAACCTTCATAAAGAGCAAAAAAGTCATTCGGTCATAACACTAGGCCCTGACATAAAAAAACCAGTCCTTGGTGATACTATGCTTTACCCTATCTCCAAATCAGCTTTAAAGTGTAACAGAATCATAGACTTAACAATATGTAGCCACAGCCTAACATAACCTCATAACCTAGAGGAAAGAAAGTGCATGAAATAGTCTGCCAAGGCAAACAGTCTTATTTTTGATTATAACAATAATCCATTCCACCAATCATTAAAGATTATTCTTCCATTACTATCTGCTCAATTTAAATAAATCAGACAGCATAAGAAACATTCATCGTAGCACACAAACAGAAAGGGAAAAAATTGTGTTCCTACACACAATCTAAACTTTGGCTTTGACGGAGCTTTCCAGGTTTCACTTACCAATAACAAAATACACTCTCTGCATGTTTGGAGTTGCACTTCATTGACAATGAAGGGCAAGTGTCAATTTAAGCTAAAATTTGTAAAATTCAATTGCAAACACCTATCTCTCACGGCAAAATTCATGTTTTCTTTTTATACTGTTAAAACAAATACAGAGTAGCTGGAAGAACAGGTGACATGCAAATCAGAGGAAAGATAAATTACAAAAAGCTAGTGAGGCGTTAGGCTACAATTAACAGTGCATCAACCAACTCAACAATATCATAAAACTTGGTTAATGAAAAAAAAAACCCACTACTTTCTGAAAGTAAACTTGAAAGTTAGATTGTGCATTGGACTGTGGACTGACCAGAAGCAAGATACAGTTACCAGGCCAATTAAACTCCTTGTGATCTGACAATGTGTTGTCATTCATGGGTTTCGGTCCAAGTACTACCTCAGAAGATTCATCATTATCACAGGAAGATTTGCTACTAGACAGAGCTCTATTACTCTGAAGTACCAACAAATTCTGAAGTCCTTCAAATATTAGTCCTCCTCGTAAGCAAACAAAAGATATTTCATGCCTGGCCACAAATTCTAGTCCATGTTGTTGGCGCTACTCAATATTTGTATACATAGGAAGACTTTCTTAACCAGTCCCTAAAGGCAATCAGACAGTTCTGCAAATCAAAATCTCATCTGAGAAAAAGCTATATTTTTCGTTTATTTGCATACAATGAGGAAAGCCAAATCTATCCCCTCTATTCAACAGCTTCTTCAAAAACATGAAATAAGAACAACTCCATGATCTTACCAGGAATAATATTGCTGAAATACCAGCCACCTATAAGATATAAAATAGAGTCAAAGAACATCATCCAACACATCCATCCAAAGGTCATGTATCCTCCTTGTGCCATTGACTGGTGCACATTATTCCACTGAATTCCTGGTAGTAATAGTAATAATTGTAGTAATAATGATTTTAAAAGGTCAAAGCTAAATCAGTACAGCATTAAAGATCACAAACATATCAACACCACACACTTCTGGGTATTTAAGCACTGACAGAAAATAGACTGTAGTTAATAACAGTAATTTTAATGAACAGAAATGAATTGCTGTGCCTCTACAAGTCTCTGTTTAGAACAGCAGGTGACTGCTTCTGGGAAAAGGTAGAGAAGCTGTTGTATAAAGGGCTATTTATGAAGTTTTAACTGGCCCTTAATTTGGCAAAAGAAAAAGAACTACGACTCTGAAAAAATGGGGCTCTGACCTCTTCAAAGCATCAGGCTTTATGCCGTTCTGCCGATATTATAAAGAAATGAGCTACAAAAAGTTTAATGTAATTTCTGTAATGCTAAATCTAAAAACTCAAATCTGTGAATTCTAACAAAGAAGCAAGTTTTTGTGTGCATGGACTGTATTCAGAGGTAAACTGGAACAACAAACTCACTAGATAATTGCTTCATAAAATTACTAAATTGCAGAAGACATGAAAGAAAGAAAGAAGGTGCAAAACAGTAATACTACAGAAAGCTACCATATTGTTAAATAGGAAACAAAAGTAACCAAATTGTAGCTTTACAAAAAGTATTTCATTTTTTTCTGTAATGTTTTGTGTGCAGTAGAATGGGTCATTATATTGTTTCTACAATTCTTTTTCTAAGATTGTCAAGAAAAGCAGTTTTTCCACAAAGCACATCTTGCCCTTCTTCAGTAAAGATAAGTCATTTTGATGAAGCGTCAGGTGGGAAATTTAAGTAATATTTTCTGCAGCTGTCTCGTCCACTCTTACCAACCTTTGTGTCATTATGATACCTTTTCAATGCCTAGTGGCTTGAAACATCCACTGTCATCAATATCGATCTTGCTGTAGTAGACAAAAAAGGGATTACATCCCTTTATATATTTAGATTCATAAATGCATATCCTTTGCAGACATTTATCAATCAAGGACCTAGGCACTCACTTCTTACTTTTCTAAAACTTCAGCACCAATACAGGCAGCTCATAGTTTGGGTATAGTAGGGATCACCAAGTTAAAACATGTAGCAACCTGTTAGAAGATTTAGGCAGTTTCCAAACATTTTCGTCTTCCTAATATTTAAACATATTAGGGTTTTCTCATGATTTCTGGACCTGCACAGTAGCTCAGTGGGGATTTCACCAGCTGCCTCCAAGCTTGCAGAGGCAAGCTGCTACCCAGGCTGAGCAGGAACAGGGTCACATAGGAAAAACACACAAAATACAAAGTAAAGGTAATTTTTTTCTTACTTTCCAACGTATAACAGTTAAATATTCATTCTTGCATTGTGTTGAAAGTGAATAACAATGTTCTTTTCTGTATGCTATTGTTTTTATAAACCTCCATTGTGTTCTGTACTAGTGCATGTGCAAACCCAGACATGTCTACCAAGCTCAAGAGTAGTCCAACCCAATGAATAGGAAGCCAGGTGAAAATGAGGAGACCCGCATGGAAGAACAATGAGCTCCTGGCCAAACTCGAACATGAAAAGGAAGCATACAGGGGGTGGAAGCAAGGATGGATAACCTGTGAGGAATACAGAAATGGTGGAACTGCGAAAGCTAAAGCCTAAATGGAATTGAATCTGGCCAGGGATGTCAAAGACAATGAGAAGGGCTTCTCTAAGCACACAGGTGACAAAAGGAAGACTAGGGAAAACGTGAGCCCAATGAGACAGAGGACCTGGTTACACAGGATGTGGAAAAGGTTCAGGTACTGAATACCACCTTTGCCTCAGTCTTTACATGCAGGTCTGGTCTTCAGAAATTGCAGGTAGCAAAGACCAAGTGAAAAGTCTGGAGCAAGAATGATGTACCTTTGGTGGAAGACGATCAGGTCCGGAAATACTTTTTCTAAATGCACGTACATAAGTCCATGGGCCCTGATGGGATGCACTCACAAGCACTGAGGGAGCTGGCAGATGTCATTGCAAGGCCACTGTCTCATAGACTCTTACACAGTCTTTGATCAAAGACTCTCACATAGTCTTTGATCGACCATGGTAATTGGGAGAAGTGCCCAAAAACTGGAAGAAAGCAAATATCACTTTTATCTTCAAGAATGAGGATCCAAGGAACTATAGGCCAGTCAGCCTTGTCTTGATCCCTGAAAAGATGATGGATCAGCTAATTCTGAAAATCACTTCCAGGCACATGAAGGACAAGAATATCAGCAGGAGTAGTCAGCACAGATTCCAAGAGGAAGTCATGCTTGAACTTGATTAAACTTCTACGATGAAAGGACTGGCCTGGTAGATGAGGGGAGACCAGTGGGTCTTGTCTACCTGGACTTCAGCAAGGCTTCTGATACTGTCTCATGTAAGATCCTCCTGAGAAAGCTAAGGAAGTATGGGCTGGAGAAGTAAACAGTGAGCTGGACTACAAACTGGCTGAATGGCCAGGCCCAGAGTGTTGTGATCAGTGGCACGAAGTCTAGTTGTAATCCAGTAACTGGTAGTGTACCCCAGGGGCCAATACTGAGCCCGATCCTGTTTAACATCTCCATTAATGACCTGCAGGATGGGGCAGAGGGTACACTTAGCAAGCTTACTGATGACACAAAACTGGGAGGAGAGGCTGATATGCCAGAGTGTCATGCTGCCACCCAGAGAGGCCTGAATAGGCTGGCGAAACAGGCTGACAGGAACCTCATAAAGTTTAACAAGAGAGAAGTCCTACACCTGTTAAGGAACAATCCCATGTACCAATACATGGCATCCGGTTGTATGGGAGCTTTGCAGAAAAGGACCTGGGGGTCCTAGTGGACACCATGTTGAACATGAGCCAGCAATGTGCCCTTGCCACGAAGAAAGTTGATGATGTCCTGGGCTTCCTTAGGCAAAGCATTGCCTGCGTGTAGAGGGAGGTGATCCTTCCCCTTTATTCAGAACCGGTGAGGCCACACCTGGAGTACTGCATCCAGTTCTGGGCTCCTTGGTACAAGAGAGGCATGGAGGTACTACAGAGAGTCCAGCAAGGGGCCACAGAAATGATTATGGGACTGGAGCACCTCTCCTACAATGAAAGGCTGAAAGAGCTAGGACTGTTTAGCCTGGAGAAGAAAAGACTCAAGGGGGAGCTTAAGAATGTGCATAAATACATGAAAGAAGGGTGCAAAGAAGACAGGGCGAGGCTCTTCTCAGTGGTGCGCAGCAGCAGGACAAGAGGCAAAGGGCACCAAGTGGAACACAGGAGGTTCCCTCTGAACACCAGGAAACAAGTTTTCACTGTGAAAGTGACCGAGCATTAGCACAGATTGCCCAGAAAGGCTGTGGAGTCTCCAGACTTGGAGATATTCCAAAGCTGTCTGGACATGGTCCCAAGCAACCAGCTCTAGGTGACCCTACTTGAGCAGCAGTGGTGGACTCGTCCTCCAGAGGGCCCTTCCAGCATCAACCATTTCATGATGTTACAAAACTCCCTGTTGATATCCTCACCAGAAAGCAAGCATTAGAGCTGCCACTGACATCAGTGAGGACTTCCAAGAAACTGCCTTAAATACCTTATCAAAGCTTCCTACAATGGACTGAGAGAAATAGCACGTTCAATGAGCAAAATAATATTCAGTCAGATGCTCAGTCATAGGTAGCTCTACTGAATTTCACTAAATATAAAACGTGAGTTTGTATCTCTAGAACAATTTCACACTCATTCTGTCATCTAACAGGATGTGGAGATTTTCCTCCAACCTGTGTTGTAAATAGAATCACGCTAAGCCCCGTTCAATTTACTGCTAGAAAGTTGTACAAGTTTCACTTGGTTTTCAAGGGGCATTAAAAATGTTTTTTGCATGTTATGATCTATCCTGTTAAGTGATGATTATAGATTTTTTTCAGAACAAAGTGAAAAACCCTTTCCAAATGCAGTTTTTGAAATGATAATTACAAAGTTTTTCTTCTAGCTGCAGAGCTTACCTATTTCTTGGCCCTCAAAGAATGTGATGAAAAATACTCCTTGCCCAAAGGCGGTTGTAGACAGAAGACACTACAACACCAGAGGAGAAACAGGATGTGAGCACCAAATAAAACCTGTCATTAACAAGCTCCATGAAATAAAATAACTTGTGATACTAAAAGCAAGCACAAAACAAATAGACCTTTGTTTCACACAGGTAATGGTCATTATTTCCTTTTATGTTTTAACAATACTCCCCCACATACCAGAGCAGTATTTGCTCCACCTTAAAGAGCTCCACTGACCTAGTTCTTAATATTAGAAAGCATTATTTAAATTTGTAACGAGTTATGGACCACCATAAATCTACCATATACTGAAAACATACAATGTACAACACTGTAAAAGCATACAAAAGAGTATACTTTCCGTAGTAAGAGCAGTGTTCCTGCTCATTTTTGTAAGACCAGAACTCAAGAGACAGAGGCAGAAGGAACCTGCACACTGGGTGCTATATGCTGAGACTTGTGCAAGGAAATGACTTTTGACTTCCAAGCAGCAACATAGTCACACTGTGTCATGAAAGTACAAAATGTAAAATAAGCAAGTTAGTGACGTAGTATAACACAGAAGTGTGACTGATGATCAAAACACTGACAAGCTCGTAAAGGCTGATTGGGAGACCCAAGCATTACTAAAATTAATAAGTATTACTCAGTGATAAAGTTCTGCAGTTTGAAAGTGAATTGAAATAGAAGTTCATTTTATCTCCTGTTTAAAAATAATGCAATTAAGTAAAGTTTTTGCAATATTTAATACAAAAGGAACACATCCTGCCAGCTGTCTGAAGAAAAAAGTATGATATAGGCTGGCTACTTAGAAAAAAACTCGAAATCATTAGTGGCACAGATTATATTTTTGTACAGAGAATTTCATGCTAGATCCCATCAGCTGAGTCCCTGCCTCTTACGTTACTCAGGTTTCACCATCTCACTTGATGGCCTCTCCCCTCTCTTAAAAAATTACTGCCTTTTTCACATGCTACTGCCTCTAATTTTCAGCAAGTGCAGGATATCTGAAGAGTTATTTTGAAATAGCTGATTTTAAAGTGTGCAAGTTACCTGATGCATACTTTTCCCTCTCTGTGGCTCAAAGGAGGGGAAAAAAACTACAACAACAAAAAAATCCCAAAATTTCCACCCTGCCTATTTATGTCCAAATTCTGCAGTCTTACATCTGTGCTTACTTGTATGCAAAGAACCAATATATTTTATCTGACCAACTGATATTGAAAAAGTGACCCTTTTTTTTTAATAATGTACGAATTATTCAATGAGCTGAATTGGTGTGTGAGTTATTTTGAAAGAGAAGAGCCATAATGTGTGAAATATGGTTTGCATTATATGATGGTGATATTTGATGTTGCAGTCAGGGATACAGCATGTTATGACAGAACACAGACATGAGACAGCCTATAGCATGCATAAAACAGGAAAGGACATGGAAGAACCAATGCCAAAGAAATAGGTACCTCAGACTGTATACAGAGATAAGCACTAGACAAATTTCTGATTTAATCCCCAATTATAATCAACAGAGAATTAATCACTATTTTTCCTCCAAACAAAGAATGACTTTCAGGAGTAGCACATCAGCCGGTGTGCTTGAAAGCATGGTAACATTACAAATATTTTGAGGCCAAAAGATAAAGACAACTCATGAGCATGAGGAATGCAACTTCCTTATATTTTCTGTAGGTTTACTAAAATTTCCCTGAAAATTTATTTTTGATTCCTTTCTACATTTCAAACATTTTCTCAATTGGATATTTATCAATGTAACTGATTTCCGTTGAAACACAAAAGCAAACAGAAACCTGGGAAAAAATAAGTAAATTATAGTCTAAAGTTTCAAAACTACAAAAATCCACAGCGTAGTTGATAGAGAAAAATTAGAAAAGGGAAAGAATATTTACCATTATAATCTGGTTGGTGAAACTCAACTGGTTCTGCAAGACCAACAAAACTACGTAGGGTAAAAAACTGATCATATAAACAAGGCTGGCACACAGAGCTGCTGTATCAGCACTGCTAAAAAACGCTCCCAAAAAATAGCTTAACGTAATAACCGTAACTCCAAAATCCAGGAGAAAAAGGAAGATGAGGAAGCCATTGCTATGAGCAAAGATACCACTTGCTTTTAAAATCATGGCCAGGGCACAGCTGCTTATTGTGAGCACAATGGTATTCTCCAGAAACCAAGCAAAGAAATGAACGGCTGGATGTACGCCCATTGTCTTCATATACTGCAAGAAAGTACAGAAAAGAGAGTTAAAGTTAGAACACAAAATTTCTGCTTCTCTCTTTTTTTTTTTTTTTTTTAAACAAAACATGTTGCTAACAAAGGATGTCATCTTCCCCTTAGATTACTCATTTCTTTTCACTTTTCATGTGCTATCCCTTCTGCTGCACTCTCCTGGATCAAACATGGTTCTGAGCAGGGCTGCCTCTGAGCTTATCACACACTGACACAAGGAATCGCAGTGCTCAGGCACAACTCCCATTTGCATGGGGCTGCAGGACCAGATGTCAGATTACTGGGTCCTCCAGTGAAGAGTTTGCCTTTTTATACTCTAGAAAGTACTGAGGATATCTACAGCACTGTATAAACAAATGTTTTTTCCTAGTCTCTTACTGAACTAAAAGTAACATATGGATATGTTTGTAAAACTTTATGTATTAGCGTGCACATAATAATTTAGCCAGGTACGAGGTATCACCCCTCTTTTTCAAAAAATGCTTTTAGAAACAAGCAAATACTACTTCTAAAGCATTTTTCGTAAGATAATCAAAATCAAATTTATTAAGTTAATTTAATATTTTAAAGCATTAAAAAAGTAAGACCTATATCACAACACAAAGTTTAGAGAAATTAAATAATTTCCCAAATTAAAAAAAACTTACTCTAGCAGTAGAAAGACCAGTATTATTCTTAAAAAAAAAATTTATCCATACAGAAAATGTATCATAAAACCTCCTGACCTTCCATATGCTTAACATCTGCTAAGGCTAGCGGTTAATATAAGCAGATACTAATCTCATTTTTTCTGTGTTGTCCTCCATTATATTTCTGATAACTATTCAGTACTTAGGAAATTTTTATTTTGGTTTAGGAAGTTTTATCTTCTTAGACCACATATAGCAAAACTATGAAAAAGCATGGAAAATAAAAACCATTCTAATCACAAGGAATTTTTCCAAATAACACTTTTCAGCTTCAACTTTTATGAATCTTTTGCTTGTTGCTTTTTGTCTCAGAGGAAATATTTGCATACTAGGAGGACTGATGCTCAAAGAATGTTGTGAATCTGAGTTGGCAGCTAGAACTAGAACTTCCTGCCCACAGGAAACAAGTGAAAACAAAGACAGCTGGATTATGAGTACATAGGAGTATCTCAAAGTTTAAGTTTTGTATTTCAGTACACTTTAATATATAAATTTTATTTTTAGAGACTTATCTGCCTCTTACCTCTTCAAGATGAATTTCTCTTTCATAAACTAGCTTGCGAACCATGCCAGCAATGGAAACCACCCATGTTAACATCATCATAAGTGGGAAAAAACCCCTATGTTGTTCAAGAATCTATGAAAGAATGTATATGCAGAGTCGTTAACTCCAAAATACAAAATATATTTTAGTAGAATATTAATAGGTTAATACCGGGACTATTCTCAAAGTAGATGCAAAATAAGGTCTGACTTGAGCAATAAGACTTACTCTTCTTCTGATTAGAACTGGGTTTTTTATGTAACAAAATAAATATATGCATTGGTACTATATTATTGTATTAGTATTTGTCAACAATATAACTCATATAATCATTCTTCAGTGCTCCGTTCAAAGTGAAACAGAATTCAGATTCATGTCTATGGCAATGTATTTGGATAGTAAAGAATAACATGAGCTGGTCAACCTTTGCTCCACCTAAACAGATTTATTACCACTGACTAAGTTTAAATTCTAATAGTCATGATGTTTTGATGGTTTTACAGAGAACAATCCTACACTGTTTCTTTTGCTTCATCAGCCTTACACTTTATTTCAACACATACCAGGGACGAACTTACAGTTTCTATATATGAAAACTAGGGATGGAAAGTGGGTTTCTTAGCATAACCAAAGTTAGTTGCACAGCATGTTGACACAGTCTCTGTCCAGCAGACTACTCCACAGTATAGCTGCAAACAGCTCTTAAGGGGTCATTTGTCAGACGGAAGTTGCGTAATGTGTTGTGGTCACAGCTGTTAACATCTGTTATGCTGTAATGTTCTGGTACTGGACATACTAGCTCAATCCTGTGCTGAGATATACATTCATCCACTACAAAGATCTAGTAGCTTCCCATATCCTCTAGCACTAATCTAAGAATAATGAATTAAAAAGCTGGAAGTTTACTTACAGATCACTGGTATGACAAGGGTAAGGCATGGCTTGCACCTGAATGGCTGGCTCTGAGGTGTCTGTCCCAGTCTGTGCTGAAATAATTGCCCTTTCAATCATGTCTTGAAGAGGAATAAAGACGTGGTTGTATTTAAACCCATCAGCTGGCAACTTCTGGGGATGGGATTTCCACACTGGGTTTTTAATCAAATCCGTTCTCATGCTGTAGAGAACACTTGTTCTAATTGTATATGAAATGTGTTGTGGAAGGAGATTGCTAGAAACTTGCGTCTTGTTCTTTGGTGCATTGAAGATGATACCTGACACAAGAAGAAAAGGATCTTCATACCCAAGCTTATATGATTTGTTATTTATGTAGCTAACTCATGGCCAATTATCATATGATAGTAGGATGCATTCTCCTGCCAGTGAAGGCCTCTAAAGTTTCCTGACCCCCAACCCAAGAACGGTAGGTTTCATAGACACTTGCATTTTTTGCCTTCATGAATACAAAATGTAAGAAATTATTCACATGATAAATGGGTTTGCAACAATCAGTTTTATCTGAGAAGATACCTTCTGTGATATGTTCTTTTGAATTTCTGTTTATTCTCTTTGAATCCATATTTAACCATTTTGGGGGACTGATCTCTATTCCAGTGAAAGCAGCTGCCGTAAAATTTGTCCGTCAAAAGGATAAAGACCCCTGGAAGTGACTGAGAAAGCAGATAATACCAACCCACTAAAATTTACTCTGATTTTTAATTACAAAACTTCTTGTTTAGCACAGCTGAATTCACAGTTTATTTTCTCTAGCTCTGTATAAGAAGAAAGGAGATGAAAGCTTAATCTGTAGCTGGAAAGATGAAGTCAAATACATCAAATTTCTTGTGTTTCCTTTCTGGATGACCCAGACTATTTTAGGACTTCTTGATGAATGTGAAATGTTGACCTTGTTTCCTTAGGAAAGGGGAGACATCTTGCCTACTGCCTAGCACTCAGAGATAATATGATATAGACCAATTTACTCTGCTGTAAAGCTGATTCTTTCAACAGGCCAATTTCATTTTCCCATTTATGCAGATGTTTAATTTCCTAAGACATTTTGTGAGGCTATGAAGTGTTTTGAAGACTACAGACAAAGCAAGCAAGGGAAAATCCACCGTAGTTTAATATCTTACTATGGAAAGGAATGTATGCCTATATCTGAGCATGTAATATTGACGTGCTGAACACATCAGGTCCTCTAAAATGCCATCTTTCCTTTTTAAGCATGTGAAGAGATTATACAGCCACAGTACTGAAAAAACTCCCAAGAAATTTCTTGGCTTATGTTAGCCTATGACCCTTCTGTATATAAGTGGAAGCAAAATGGACCTAGAACTTGACAATTCAGTTTTCTAAGGGCTAAGATCTATCTGTCTGTTTCTTCCCTTGAAGGGGTAAACAATTTCATTCCCTATGTTGTACTCCTGAGAATTTTCCTTATCTCTGTTGGTTTCATATTGATGTAGGGTGGTCATTTCCACATTCTGCAAATGGGGGTATTGTGCAGGTTACAGAACAAACGTGGGATTCCAGACTGAGTAGTTTCACTCTCTAGAGCTACTGTGACATGTCTTCTGTTGTGTACTTACAGGAGTCCAGGGAGACAACAAAAATCAAAACAACAGGGTAAAAAAAAATGTGGCACACTTTATATAGACTTAAATGGGGCTCTTTTTGGGAAAGGCTACATGCAACTCACAGCATTTTACGAGAACAGATAAAGTATGTCTAAAAAAAACATTCTTGTCTTTTAAGCTCTTTTGTACAATTAATTGATTCTCAGCAATAAGGATATAATATGGAAAAGGACAGATAGCATTATCGCAGAGAAATGAATACAACCTTTGCTTCAGAATTTATTTATTCTGAATAAACAAGTTAATTTCTCTGAGGTGTGGGTTCAAGAATAAAACTTACCAAAAAACCCTTTCTTTCCTTCTTTTTGCAAAGCTAAGAGCATAAAAATTAAAATTCAAAAGGATGTAACCTAGATGATCTTGTCATAATAAGTAGTCAAGTTTCCTCAGTAAGATACATTTTTCAGCTCTTCTTATTCTACTTTAAATATTTATGACTATCCTTTTCAATATTTTGTTAGAAATAACAGACTCCAAGGATTCATATGGCAATTCCACGATTAAAATAACGATATAATTAGTCATTACAGCATATATTACAGCATTCAGATGTTGGGGAATACCTCTAAGGTAAATGTGCTTTAATTTTCCTGTATTATATGCGTTTTAATACATAGTTTGAAACTGTGTAAGCTTAATCTACCTTACCAACAAACACAGACAACTACAAAGTCTGATGTTTTCTGTCAATATACATATTAAATAAGGTACTTACTAGCCAAAAAATTATTTTGCTGCATGAGTTGATGAGCTTTCTCCTCCAATTTCTCAACAGAGTCTAAAGGCTGGAAACGGTCCAGTAACACGCAGGAAGAGATATTTACTACAAGCTGTGACAACAGGTCAATCTGTTTACCTGCAGAGCTGTTAAGCATCTTGTTCATCATAGTTTCTAAAATGAGGAAACAAATTGGAATTCTTAAGTTTTAATGAACAGAAAGGTATGTTCTCATTTGCAAATCCTGTAAGATGTGTTGAAAAAAAGGAAGAAATTTTAAAAACATAGGAATTTTAGTGTGAACTTGTGGAAGTGTAGTTCATATTTCAGTGGCTTTTACAGGTCATCAGCTATGTTTTCCTTCAATTTCAGAGCAACAAAAATGTAACGAATTCTAGGAAAGTTGTAGAAAGACGCCATGTGCTTGAAGCTGTAGGACTTAACTTTTCCTTATCTTTCCATAACTACTTGTGCAAATACAAGCGAGTTACTGTACTTTGAACATCACAACAGAGATCCATCTCTTTCATCTGGAAATCTATTGGCCAGTTCTATCTTTGACACTGCAAATATTTCAAGCATCTTCTTATACAGGGCATAAGCATTTTGACTATAGCCCTTTCTTAAAAAAGCAGCTGAAAAAAGCCTACGACCCCACCATTTTGACTTTGATCTTATCTGTGAATCCAGAATGAATGCATATCTCATCCAAAGCCTGATTTTCAAAAACACTGAACCTTTGGAGGAATTCAGATCTTTATGCATTGGTAGAGAATGCAGAGATAGTGCTATATCCTTATGTTTGAGAGAATAACCAGAGAGATAGCATGATCTAGAAACAATCTTATTTCATCTGCATTTAATGGAAACATCTGTTTTTTTCAGGTAATGAACAATGTTACAAAACATCTAACACAAGTTTCCATCTTAAGTTTTTCAAGACTCACTTGAGGATACAGGCTATAAAAAGGGTAGGAGGTCATCTCCTTTGACAACAGTGGTGACAGACAAAGCATAGATGCTATTCAGCGTCAGCACAGGAAATATTACAATGGGAAGGCAAGTAAGTGGAGAAAGGTACAGAGTAGTCTGGAGAAGAAATGTTACCATCAGTGAGAAAGGATAAAAATCACGAGGAGAAGGAGTAGAGGAACAGATAGTCTAGAACTCAGAAGACAGATATATATATCTGCGTGTGTAATTATATATAGCCCTATATATATATACACACATAAAAAACAATCACCAGAGATCTCTTCACCAGCTGATCTCTGAAAGATCTTAATTTGAAATCAATCGTTAACTAAAAAAACTTCTGTCATGAATTAAATTATTGAATATTTTAGCATAAGAAATACCAACTAATTTGCTGCTTGTTTGCAGCATACTTAAGTGTTTCTGGAAGCAAAATATTGTCCTTCACAACGTTCAAGGACTTCTATACCCTAGCATAGAAATAACACATATATATGAACAGATACAATCAACAGGAAAGTTTTACAATTAAGATCTATAGAATTGCCTGTCTTGTATTTTTCCCATTTATAAGTGTAGCAATTATGAATAAAAAACCCCGACAAACCTGTTTTCACTATTATCTTCATACTAGGTTACATAGTAACTCAGTCCTCCTCTTCCACTTGGCTTGTTTAACCTATCATTAAGTAACTGGGAGGAAATAACTGATTTATGCAAATCTACTCAGTAGAAGTGCTACTTAAGTAAAAGATTGCAAGAAAAATAAATTGATATAAACCAGTAATGAATGAATTTAGGTCAGAAATTAGGAGAAAGGTTCTAGTTATCAGCTGATTGTCATGGTGGCACAGTTTTCAGCGATGATGTTAGAGTTATTTGTTTCCAACTTTCTATATACACATAAAACTATTTCATTACAATGAGGGCAGCAGAGAAATAGCATGGAGGAAAGCTCCCTGGTTTTTTTTTTACTCTGGCTGTTACTTCCCAGGTTACACACAGCTCTCTGTAAGGGAGATTCCTTGCTAGTGAAAAAAACACTTCACATCTGGAAGAAATCGCAGAAGAAGGAGGCGAGAGACACTTGGTAAGCAAGAATCTAAAAGAAAACCCTGTAGCACAACTGCCTCCCAGTGCCTCTTGAGAGGTTTGTAAGGGCTGCACCCAGCAAGGAGCTCACAAGCTCGAGCAGGACAAGGCTTATATAAAATCAATTACACCCAGGAAACTGTTGCAAATTACTGGGTTGGAAAGCAAGTGTAGAGGAGTACAGTTGCCTTGCCCACACAAAGCTAGTTTAGAAAGAAAATAAGGGTTTAAAAAGAAAGCCACAAACTTTTCTGCTATCAGTTAAACATTTACTTTGTTCCAGGCGAGTACAACTGACACAGTAACCCTGTAAAACAGTTTCAAAAACTGAATAACTTTGCAAGGTCTTATAGCATCATAATTTTGTAGAGAGGTTGGAAGAATTCTCTATCAATCCACTCTGTGTCCATGGCACTTCCTGTCAGGAGTAGCAGGGTGAGCACTACATCACTAAGACTGTTCACCATTTTTATAGCATTGTGTAGAAGTAAAAGAAGATACAAAGACAGGCATCTTGGATTTGAGCATAATTAGAAGTCAGCTTAATGTGAGTGCAGATATAATAAACCAAAGGAATATTTGCTTTAGTTAAAAGATAAAATACATAATCACATAGATTAGGTGATTTTAGAAAACTTAAGCTTTGGATAGAAATAAACAGATTGTGAGTGGTAACACCAATAACATATATGGATACATTTAAGACTTTAATTGGATACAAGAAAGATAATTACAGAACTAAAAAGCTGACTCTGTATGACAGTAATGAAACTAAAAAAAAAACACCAGAGGTTTCCAGTAACAGCTGCACATGATTACAGACTAATAAAATGAACAGAAAAACATATACAAACCAACATAAGAGGGCATATTCATTTCTCAAAAAGTAAAATGACAAAGGAAATGTGTAAAAAGAAGTGTAATCAAATTGTAAATGCAGAAGTCTGACGTTTTGGACAGATCAGCTTCACAAAGGCATAAATGCTGTTGTGATTTACAGCCCATATTGATTTTCACTTTTTATACAATGTTAATTTTATCGACTGTATTCCATTAAAATAAAGAAATTCTAGTTTCATAAACCATTGTATTTAAACGATTTCCTACACTCACCATCCAAGACTATTAATGATTTATTACGCATTTGTCAAATGTCCTTAGCTCTGTAAAAAATCTATAGCTTAAGAAACACATGCACAGATTTCTGTGATTATGTTTTCTGCAACTGTGAAGACAGACTTCATAACTCCAGAGATCTTGATATCTACTTAATTAAGTTTGCCCGTAACCTATCATGTAGTTCCCAGTGTTAGGTTCAAATAAACAAAATCCATCTATTGATTATCTAACATACTGAAACAGCTGCATTTCCAGCAGGCCTTGTGGGTTAGGAGACTTGCTCTTCCCTCTCTCCTGTCTTTCCAATTGCGTGATTCTGTGAGGGATTTTTTAGCTGTATTGTGATCCAGCTTCATCATGAGCAGTGAGCTGTGCCTGACCCAGACTAGGCAACAGTTCAAGTGGTTAATAAAATCTCCCTGAGAGGCAGCAGATTCAAGTTTGAGTCTCTTGCCTAAGGAAGATCCTGAGCCCAGCTTCTTACTTTCCGGATTGAATTCTGGACACAATTTGCCATTTTTCTTAGTGAAAGTGTGTGGCAGCTAGTCCTACCCTTGAAACACATCTTTCAAATCAAGGCCATTTTCAACTACATCTCACATCCTGTGTGCAAAAGAAAAGTCAAGCATGTCAGTTCACACCAACCACAACAGCACCAGCTCAAGGCAGTAGTACAATTTCAGACTAAGAATACACTTCATCATTTACAAGCTCTCAGGAGCTTCAGTGGATTTTGTCCATCTCCTCTGTAGAAGCAGGTACTGAAATCCAGTAAAAGTTGCAATTCAGGTCCATTTATTTGTTTAGTTTACCTCTAGGCTTAATTTTTTGACTGTAGATGAGACTTAATCATCTATATTGCTGTGAAGTCCATTTGTTCCAGTAGTAAGGGCCACACAGCCCCTTCATGCAGACATCCAAGAGCTCATCACTGCCCTCTTCCAACAAAAGACCGGAACAGATTTGTGTCTGGCTCAGAATTATCCTAACTCACTGATAACAAACTACACAGTTCTGTCCTCTCTACCACTATCCTCCTCTAGGAAGCACCCAGCTCCCTTTGTACATGATGTCACACTATCTGTTACCTCACATTTTACCTCACTTTTCTCTCTTTCTGGTCTGCAAAATCATGGACTTTTCTTAAATGTCATTAGACTCTGCCTTGGTATGGACAGTTGCTTCTGGCACATGTCAGCAATCGTTTTAATTATCATGCACCTACCCTACTGACAGCAAGTCACACAGATTTTTTTCAACCATCACGTTCTTCTAAAATCTTTCAATAACTTTATTTTCCAGCATAGACTCTTCCCTTCTCCTTCTTAAATCCCTGTATACCCAAAATTACTCGTAATAATCACCATCTCCTCCATTATAAACTGTTCCCCTTGCCATATCTGGCCCTGGAGGACATACTTTGTACTCCTGGAGGTCTCGCTGCCAGGGCTTAGTATCAATGCAGAAAGGGTGCAGCCAAGGCTGGCTATGGCCCAGGGGGACACTGCTGCGCAGCCCCATGCAGCCATCTGAGCCAGGGCCACTCCTTTTCCATCACAGCTATGCAGAGCTGTGGTTAGGCCTGCCGCAGGCTGCAGCGCCCACCACTTCACAGTCTGGCTGTGGATGTGGCCTTGGACCTGCTGATCTGGGCTCAGACCCCTGCCCGTGGGGTGACGTCCTGGCCCGGCCTCAGCATCGCCCCCATGGTCCCTGCCTGGCAGTCCCAGGGCTGGGTCTGACCCTGGTTGTTCTCTACCAACTGGAGCCCAACTTAGCTGCTCTCTGATTATAGCCGTATCTCAGGCTTTTCCAAGGCTCAAGATCACACACAACTAATTCTCAATACAAGGAGAAAAAAAAATACAGACAGCTTTCAACTAAACACACTATATTCAATCTCATTTTCTATTCATTTACATTTAAAGTATATAGACTTCCTTCAAAATTTACTACAAAAATTTACTGCTACCTAATGGAACTGTGGATACCGGGATTCCTTCTCCCTTCCCTCCTTAGGAATACAGCTCCTCTGTTTATAACTCTCCCATGACAGTTTGCCACTTCTAATAATGTTACCAAATTTTTCAGGTCTTCAATATTTTGAAATGCAAATTGTCCAGTCACTTAGAAGAAAAAAAACAATTAGAAATACTTGAGACCAACTCAGCAAGAGAATTTAAAGTCTGGTACTTCAGCATTGTTTAAGTAGGTAAAACATTCAATTTCAACTGAGCGCAGTGTTAAGTTCAATTCTAATAATGGTAATCACTACATGCACATTTATGTACATACCATATCCTTGAATTTTCTTAAAGAGGTTTTCCATGTCCATATCCAAACTGCTTTCTATAAAGTGCTTTATGAAATTGTTTTGCAGTGCTTCCTAAAATGAAAAATGTTATATGTTACATCAGGTTTATCTTCTCTAAAGAAATATAAAATATATATATGTATTCATGTTCAATTCCATTACCAAGATTTCCTGCATAACACCAGTGCACTTGCTTAGCCTTTCGATGTCTTCAGTGTTCCGTTCTTAACAGGTTAACTCCACACATTCCAAACAAACAGCAGCATATACTCGCCATTGCTGTACATCACTGTCCTCCTTTACTGAAAATATTTTAACTGTGAGTCCATTCTAATGTTCTTGTAAATCTGCTGGGACAGAAACCCATTTTCTCTTCCTGCAAGACTTTTGGGCCACTATACCATTACCACTGGCAGTGGTAAAATAAATATCTTTAGAAAACTGGCTTTTGGGCATTCCTTTTACATTTTAACTTCTTTATCTCATCTGCCAAGTTTTGAGGGGGGGGAGGGGGGGATTATTAGTTCTCCAAGAGCATCCTGGGATCTGCAAGCCTAGTGCACGATGAGTGGATGAGTGGTCGGTGAAGTGGATAGAGAACTGGCTGAATGGCAGAACTCAGAGGGTTGTCATCAGTGGCGCTGAGTCTAGTTGGAGGCTGGTAACAAGTGGTGTCCCTCAGGGGTCAGTACTGGGCCCAGTCTTGTTTAACTTCTTCATCAACGACCTGGATGAAGAGTTAGAATGTACCCTCAGCAAGTTTGCTGACGACACCAAACTGAGAGGTGTGGTAGATACACCAGAAGGCTGTGCTGCCATTCAGCGTGACCTGGATAGGCTGGAAAGCTGGGCAGAGAGGAACCTGATGAGGTTCAACAAGGGCAAGTGCAGGGTCCTGCACCTGGGGAGGAACAACCTCATGCACCAGTACAGGCTTGGGGTGGACCTGCTGGAGAGCAGAGAGGGACCTGGGTGTCCTGGTGGACGACAGGTTAACCATGAGCCAGCAGTGTGCCCTGGCTGCCAAGAAAGCCAATGGGATCCTGGGGTGCATCAAGAAGAGTGTGGCCAGCAGGACGAGGGAGGTTCTCCTTCCCCTCTACACTGCCCTAGTGAGGCCTCATCTGGAGTACTGTGTCCAGTTCTGGGCTCCCCAGTTCAAGAAAGATGAAGAGCTACTGGAGAGAGTCCAGCGGAGGGCTACAAGGATGGTGAGGGGACTGGAGCATCTCCACTACGAGGAGAGGTTGAGGGAACTGGGCTTGTTCAGCCTGAAGAAGAGAAGGCTGCGAGGGGACCTTATAAATGCCTACAAATATCTGAAGGGTGGGTGTCAGGAGGATGGGGCCAAGCTCTTTTCAGTGGTGCCCAGCAACAGGACAAGGGGCA